ATGTGGCCTTTGATCAAGATCTGAAATCAGTGTCAAATGAGCTTTGCAGCCTGACTGAAATGTTCAGTCTTTATAATTCACTGCCTTTTGTTACAAGGTTGACTTACTTCTCTTAAACATTTGTCACAAACGTCCATGCTTCATCTGAGACATTCTTGTGTAAACATATGCCATATTTTCATACACAAGCTGGATGCATTTTTTTGTCAGTTTTATACTTTTAAATATTGCAGATCAGTATAATAAATTTATCTTTTGCCTCATATTACAGATTTCTTCTGATCAATCAGGTTGTCTTGGTGCAGGACTGCACGATTTATAACTACAATCATATCTGACTGCCAAAGTGGCAGAAAGGCCAATTCTTTAATTTCTTTAAGTAATTTTATTTTAAAAATAATATTGAAATTGATTGGGTGCTTCCCACAGAGTAACCTTTTTTTCTGAAGAGTTGTATTTGTATCAGACTATTTGGGGGTTTTACTGCCACATGTCCTATTTTGTCATTAGTACCATTTCCTTTCAACTGTGCATTTTTAAACATATTAATGACTAATCCTCTTCTCTGTCTGTCTGGCAGTAATGGAGCAACGCAAAAATTAGCATTATTTTATTTTCCACATATTTGGAAAACATATAGCTTTTATCTAACTAACTTCATATTCTTGTGGGCCCTCTTTTCATTTGTGAGATATGCCACCATTGTCACTGCATGCTGTTTAGTTCTGGGAAACAGGTTGCGACAAGGTATTTAATGGAGGCTGCGTGCTCGCTGTTTTCATTTCAGTGACCTCGGGTGAACAACAAGGATAATCAACATCCACCATCATACAGAGTCTTAGCCATTAGACACTGTCTGGAGCCCTTTGATTTGGGTCTCATCATGCTTACATGTACACAGTGTTGCAGATATTTGCTCATACGTTTGAGGTTGTTGACATGCATCCTAATATTTCATGTACAGTTGTCCCCACAAACATGAATATAAAGGACTGCATAAATACAAATGTTAGCATGGAAACAAAACTGACTGCAAAAACCAAAAGTGACTTGTAGAAAGGTGTCGCTTTCCTTCCAGTTAATATCAGCACTTCACCAGAACAAACAGAAGTCTGGACCACGTTAGTATCCAAAACATATATGAATTTAAGTAAGAACTTAGGCATTTTTTTAAACACTGTAGATTTAGCCTATGCATTTAATCAGAAATAAATTTGATATACTGATGTGCCACCATCACCCAAGATTTTAACTCTTATAATAAAGAGCCTTATTAGAAAGTGGTACCCATTTCTAGCTGTACTAGCAGCAGGCTCAGTCAGCAGGTTAGTCAGTCCTTCAGAAATATTGCTATCATCAGGACAAAATTTTAGAGTGAAACTTTAACATGTCAAACACTTTAGCTTGGGGACTAAATTCTTGCAAAACTACAACAAGACATTCCCATCAAACTTCACTGTAGTTTTTGTTTAGTGCTAGTTAGCAAATCTTAGCTTTCTAACATGCTAACCTAAGATGAGGACATAGTTAACATTATACTTGCTTAACAATGGCTAGCCATGTCATTGTGAGTATGTTAGCACTCTAATGTAAGCTAAGAGCTACTGACTTACTAAATAGCTATCTTCACTGTTCTATACCCTCACAGATATGCTAGCATGGCTAGATTCTTAATATTATTTTTTCAAACAGCAACACTTATGTTAACCTAGACTCTGCAGTAGTACTCACATGCCAGATTGCAGGCTAAATAATCGAACATGTGAACATGAACAAATGATTGAACGTTGTCTTGTCTGAGGAGATCTCTAAAATTGTCACAGCCAGATGCCAATCGAAGCAGTTCATTTAGGGCACATGGGGTACCAGGGAGTGGACGCAGAACAGCCTTTCATTACCACAGGAGTAAATGATTTCAGGCGTTCATCTGCTGTCCTAGTCCTCTAGTGCACTTTAAAGATGTGCTGACTGACAGAGATCAGTGATTAGCCATGACTTATTCTGAGTGATTTAACGCTATTGACCTCAAACAGCCTGAAATACAATGTAAATGACAATAATTGTCAAATGATTCCCTGGAAACAAGTGGAGTAAGAATAACGGGAATTATCTGAACCATGTCATCCTCTGCAATAATAAAAATTGCTTCACTTGTACATGTAGTTGTACTAAAAAGCCTAAATGCTCTTGAAAGGATTTCACACACAAAAAAACTTCCCTGAATGGAAAAGTTTTTTTGTGTGACATGATAAATTTGTATCTTTGATGGAGCCATATTAAGGTTGAGCTTCCAGTTCTATATTGAAATATTTGTTATCAGTATATTGGGTTTGTTGTAAAAACTGTCTAATACTATTTAGTAGTGGCTTAGTCACAAGTAAGGCACTGGTTGATGTTTTGAACTGGGTAACCAGAAAGGTTTTTAGCAAGTTCTCGGAAATGTTTTTACTGTGTTGCTCTAAAACACCAAACAGGCTGCATTATGATGAAGTATTGTGTGTCATACTTGTCATTCAGGTGTGACTTGATCTGCAGAGGTTTCAACACATGACCTGCTTGGCCTGTGAATGTGGGAGACACATAGTTTTGCTATCATTCCTATCAGTTCTGAGTTCAGTCTGCTACAGTACTGCTACATAAATCACATGCATTTGCACATTTGCATTCATTTGACAGAATAGCCTTGAACTAGAACTGGAATCTACACCACTGACGGACTGTTAGCCTAGCATTTTAATACTACATAAACATATGGATGAGTTTTTTATGGACATCGGCAGTAACAATGAATGAGTCTCGCGGGTGTCATGTTTACATCTGCCAACCAAAGCTGGAGCCGATAATACACGTGACTACTGTAGAGTCATTTGACCCGTAGTGAATGTCTGCAAAAGCAAGATCCTAGGGTCTTTTTGTCTAGTGTAAAAGACACAGCAGTACTGTGTGTTAAAAGTTAATGTTGATGCAGATGTGATGTATAGGTATTTGGTCAAAGAGCATTGGACACATAAAAACTTTCACCTGATGAAGGCACTAGATTAAACTAATGTATCACTAGACTCCAGTATTTAGGCCTACATTTCATCCTGTGGGGACCATGAATGACATTGTTGTGGAGATATTTCACTCAAAATCACCACAAATGTCAAGCTGCTGGTAGTGCTTGAGCAGAGCTTTGGAAATCACTGAAGTCAGTGCTTGAAGTGGGCCGGTACGCACTACCTGTACCTTGACATTTTACTCGCGGGACATTTTCTTGCACACCGGGACTTCTTCCAAGCTACTCTCCTCTGCCCTCTCCATATCAGGTTCTCTGGGCTCTACGTGGCGCTCACCTGTTCCCTTTCTGGCCTGCCTGATAATCTCTGTCGGCAGAGAGAGAGGAGGGAGAAGAGAAGCTTGTGTGCCTTTCAAGCAGCAATGTGCTGAATGTAGCTCTTCAATGTCCCTTTACACTGGGGACATGTCAGAATAAGAATGTCTCCATCAGTTTTTGAAAGCTTTTGTTAAAAATGTTCTGAAAAAACATTTGCAACAAGAAATGTTAAATAACAAATGAAACAATGCACAATAAATAAACATGCAATGCAATTGAAATAGTCTATAGAAGAAACAATTGCATTGTCCAAAAGCTCATTACTGCATTATATTCCATTATATTTTTATATTTTCTCACCTGCCACCTTAATTTTGTTTCCCTTCATATAAATAATGACATTTCCAACATAAAGTGGTGCAGAAAATGTCAACAGAATGCAGAAAATTAAATGTTTAATGCTCAAAGTCGTTTTAATGTTATTATAATAATAATAATATTTAATAGTTTCACCTTAAGGTTGAGGATAGTGCAGGGGCATTTTCACTTAGGGGTGTGCTCACTTTTGTTGCCAGCATTTTAGACATTAATGGCTGTGTGATGTGTTATTTTGAGGAGACAGCAAATTTACACTGTCCAACAACAACCTGTCCACTCACTACTTTACGTTGTAGCAAAGTGTCATTTCTTCAGTGTTGTCACATGAAAACATATAATCAAATATTAATATAATACAAATATAATATGAACTCACTTTTGTGAGATACACTATATATTTACACATTTTAGTCAAAAAGTTGAGAATGAACTTCAAGAATAAGTGATGCTGTACCTCTGTTTATACAGATCCTGCTGACAGGGCATTGAGGAGGAAGAGTGGGGACGGTTAACCTCTATTGATTACAACCAAACTCTTGTAGCTTTAAATGAACACACCAAAGCCTCAGGCACACTGAATCCAGCTTCACTGCATAAAGTCACATCAGGATCTCCTATACCAAGCCTGGTCACCTGGCTTCACACCAGGCTATTAATTCAGAATCACTCTGCAAGCATATAGCCACAATTGATTTGTCTGCCCTAACTTGTTTAGGAGAAACTGGGAATGAAACACCATGCCTACAGAGCTCCATCTCTGACAGTCCTCCTCACGGAAGCCACTCAGCATTTAGACATCACGTCACTTCACCTCCTTATCAGCCTGCCCCTCAGTCCCTTTTACAAATATTTGTGACCAGTGAAGGATGGCAGTTCAAACATTACAGCCACTGTGGCAGTGACCTCTGCATTAATCCAGACAGCAGTGTGACTTTTGTTGCATAAAAAGGTAGGCTCAGTCATATAAATTCCACCTAATGGAAATGTCATGGTTCCTCTGTATTTCTCAGCATAAATAAGCCTACTGATCTTTTCCATCTGGTCAGATAGGCTGTACAGGCTACAGTGAAGAATATTAGGCTATTAAGCCCATTTAGAGGATACCAATGCAAAAATGAAAAGGAAGAGCAAACTGTAACTTCTCTTTAGCATATAGAAATAGCTTTTGTTGATAACTGAACTACTGTAGGAGTACTCTGTAGCATAGACTATGCAGACTATAGGAAGTCCACGGAGACACGCGCGTCAGAGCTGTCAGTCAACTTTAAGGGCAGATATAAAAGCGAGTGATCCCCGTCAACGGGACTGCACCTGTTGATCGACACGCTCTTAACGCTTCTCACAAAAGTAATTACGATGCCAATTACTGCTGGGTCGTAAAATAGGCCTATCAAAGGTTCGGAGTGCGGATGCAAGCCTGTAATTGCTGCTCGGAAACCCGCATGCGTTCAATTGTGTGAGGAGAGCGCATCTCCAGAGGCACACCGAGACTCCGCGCCGGATCTTTCCTGCACTGAGACTCTGTATCTGAAAACTGGGAATTAACATACAGTAGGTGTGCCACTTTTCCTCACATTCGAGATGCGCAAATGGTATGTTATTTTACTTTAGCATATAACTAAAGGTCAGTACTATAACGCAAATTTGTGAGCTATGAGAAATAAATATTTAGTTTGTTGGCTTTAATTTAGAGGCGTGTTCGTGGTGATATGTTCCAAAAGACTTTTCTATAACTGCACAGTTTATTTCTAATTTTATCGCAGGGTTCAAGGGCTGCATTTCTTTTTGAGACACTAATCAAGATACAGTTAATATAATTTTTATCTTTTTTGTTTAATCCTTAACATTGTTGGTTGTTTAACTATCAAAATGTATCTGATAGCACAATGTTGCTGCCACTATTTCAGCATGTAGCTTATCCTTCTTGGCAGAAGGGATACAGCCGTGTTAGCAGTTCTTTTATAATTTAACAAATTCTGCTGAGCAGGTGATCAATTAGGCTATTTGACATATATATTTTTCCTGATATAGCTATTCTATTCACTTATTATTAGAATCAGTGTGTGAATCAAATCTGTCGTCGTAGGTTCAGCGCATAACCAGCTGCATGGTCGCCTTTAGATGTGAGACGTCATTATCTGAGTGATTTCTGCGAGGACATTTCAGACTTTAATTGCCGTGACGTTTTTATTAAACATGCTGTCAAATCAGAAGGACCATATAGAAACAACAGCCGAGATTAAAGCTGACATAAGAAATAACCACACATTTAAAAATTATTCGGTAAATTAAATAAGCTTTATCCTATTTGTCCAGCCCAATATCACAAATCACACATTTGCCTCAAGGGGCTTTACAATATGTACAGCATACATAGGCCTATACAACACCCAAGAGAAGAGAAGTAAGTAAAAAAGGTGTTTATGCTGTAACAATTAAACATTTTAGTATGGTTTTAATTCTGTTATACTTTGAGACATGACTTATGTCCAGTGCCTCTATGTTGGTAACTTCAGGAATTTGGATTAATTGCCATCTGGAAAATGGTGATGTGGGGCATTTTGAGTGAATCTGAAGCAGAAATCTTTCCTCTGATATTTCTTTTTAGCAGTTACTGTATTAAAAAAGTGATTTTTACTTTGTTTCATCTGATCCACACTTTTCAGGGAGATCAAAATATTGTGTAACCAGAACCTCCAAAAAGGGTTTTTACTAAATCAAAATGTGTTGCTGCTGGGTGCATTCATCACCCCACCATGTGTCAATATTGTTCTATGTTGTCATGCAGTTATATTGTCATATGTCCTTTACATTTCCTCAACTAGGCCTACATATGCACATGCAGTGTGTCATGTGTGGGTAGATAATACTCTGGTGTATGGATATAGTCCAGAGCAGCTCTGAATCACACAGCAGTATTTTCTTTAATATTCTTTGTAAAAAAAAAAAAAAAAAGCTGATGTAATAAGCCTGACTCACAGTGACATACCTACTTTGTGTGTGAATTGTATTACAGCAAAACAACCCACTCATTTAAGACTTACAACAAAATATATGTGGTAGTTTTTAAATTTAGTTAAGTCAAGGGAAACTTTACATTATTGTTCTAAATGGAAGTTACTGTCAGCACAGTGATTTTCCCTTTGGTGCTACACAGGACAGGGACAAGAATTATAATTGGACAGTGGAACTTGCTCATTCAACTGCACAAGTTTTCTGCATTTACTCAGGAATATAAAAAAAGAGAAAGTTTCCATTGAAGTGAATTAATTGACACAAATTGTATAAACGTGTCCGCATGTCTGTCCATTCAGCATATTCTTGGCTTGATAAAGCTGAATCGTTTACTGTGCCTGTTGTTGAACCATGATTTCACCCCCCAGGTTAACAACAGCCATTTGGGATGGAGGGCACAGGCAGCAACTGGGTAGCTGAGCTCACCCCCCCGTGTACAATACGTGAGGTGAACGGGAGCGACACCGGTCAAGTCTTCGAGGTGGCACTGCAGAACGGCTCCTCCAAGCGCAGCCCCCAGTTTGTGGGCGTAGAGCTGCTGCAGTCCTTCAAGCTGCTCATCATTCCCTGCTACACTCTGGTGGCCCTGGTGGGCGTCTTTGGAAACTACCTGCTCCTCTATGTCATTTGCCGCACCCGCAAAATGTACAATGTCACCAACTTTTTTATTGGAAACCTGGCCTTCTCTGACATGCTGATGTGTGCTACATGTGTTCCCTTCACACTGGCCTATGCCTTCAACCCACATGGCTGGGTCTTCGGCAGCTTCATGTGCTACCTGGTGTACCTCATCCAGCCTGTGACGGTGTACGTGTCGGTCTTCACTCTCACAGCCATTGGTGTTGACAGGTAAATCATAATGAGTTGCCACTGTGAGGACTCAGGACAGATAAATAAATCTCCTGGGGACTTCCGATAAACCTTATTTACATGCATAGTGCATTTCACTGACATATCCTACAGTATAATGCCTCATCAGATGAGTGGAATGTTTTCAGCTTTGGCATTTATTCAAACCTGCCAGAAGCCTAAATTCTGCTTTGTCTGTGGTACTTGCAGTGGCAGAGCTGAATTGGATTTGATTTTAATAAAAAAAATGTTTTTTAATGTTTTGCCAGAAACTGTCATTTTGGTGTTGACTGCATTTTGACTGAGGTTATTTTTGAAGCTGCATTATTTGTGGCAGCTGTGCTTTCATTTGCATGTTGATTGATGTTGGCAAGTTATGCTGAATGCTGGTCTTCTCCTGCAGTTAACTCGTGTTTGGCATGATAGATAGATCTAATCTAATAGGCTATCTTCTTATCTGCTCCTTTTTAGATACTATGCCACAGTTCATCCTCTGAAAAAGCGCATCTCAGTCTTGGCCTGCACCTACCTTCTGTCTGGAATCTGGCTGCTGTCCTGCAGTCTAGTGGCTCCAGCTGTGGCTCACACCTACCACGTGGAGTTTGAGAATGAGGGCTTCACCATCTGCGAGGAGTTCTGGATGGGCCAAGAGAGGGAGCGTCTGGCTTACGCGTACAGCACTCTCTTTATCACCTACGTCCTGCCTCTGTCAGCGCTCTGCATCTCATATCTGTGCATCTCTGTCAAACTGCGGAACTGTGTCGTACCTGGCCACCACACCCAGAGCCAGGCGGAGGCTCAGCGCATGCGCAAACGCAAGACCTTCCGGCTGGTGAGCCTGGTGGTGGCAGCCTTTGGCGTCTGCTGGATGCCCATCAGTGTGTTCAACGTGCTGCGTGACATTGACATCGACTTGATTGATAAGCGGTACTTTCTGCTCATTCAGCTGCTCTGTCACCTGTGTGCAATGAGCTCATCCTGCTGTAACCCTTTCCTCTATGCCTGGCTGCACGACCGTTTCCGCGCTGAGCTCCGCAAAATGTTCACATGCCGCCGTCGCATCGGCATCTCGGCCAACAACTGCGCCACAGCCAGTGTGGTTTTGTGAAGTTCCTGTTTAGGCTACTGTTAATCCTTGCTTCTTTGGCACTAGCGTATCCTCATCCCATTCTGGTAATATTTGGTAATGCAGAATTAGATAGTTATAAATTGGTAGGATTCCTAAGTCTGTATGGTGTTCTAGCTTTCATTTAAGGTTGCCACGTTATTTGCTCCATAATTCAGTAGCACAGTGTCAAAAATGTTGCCATGTAGTTTCCAAATACTCACAAAAGAGTACTCCACCAATTTGGCATTGCACTCCTTTAAGATTGTCGGACTCACGGCGGATAGTTTGAAAAGAAAAAAAGAATCAACATCACATCAGCAAAACCAGATTTGTCACCTTTTTTATTCCACACACTCTTCTTCCTTGTCAAAACCAGCTTCCTACATACACAATGCATGAAGAGATGTAACTTGAGGCAATTTGTCTGATTTTAAGTGGCTACTTCTGGAGGTTTCATACAGGTTTTTTCACATTATGCAGTAGAATTCTGCAAGACCTGTAAACAGACTTTGATGTGTAAAATTGTTGGGGTTCTCTTTTAAGTCTGAACACAGTAAGTTGTCTCAATACTTAATTACTTCCTCTGCCATTGTGTGGCTCTCAGCAAGGAGCCAGAGCATTGTTAATTAAGGCACAAAACTAACATATAAACTTATATGTACAAATATATACTTTCATTTTATGTAATTTGCCAAAACAGCTGGGCGCTGTAATGTTAAGCAACAATTACTCAAGCAGCAGTAAATTATGAATTTGTTGGTGGCTATTTTCAGCTGTGGATATGGTGTTAAACAACAGTGCCCCTTTCATCATAATGAGGGAAGATGTCAGTCAGTGCAACGGTGAATCTCATTGATGAGTTTTTGAATAGGAAAACAATGAGGGTCTGTGCACAGAGGAGCAAGCTGTATCTGGCTTTAGATACTCAATACTTGTTAGTTGGATTAATTCATTGTTGGTTTTGTCATTGCATGTGATTTGTTGACCTGACAAACATACAGTTCAGTCCTATTGCTTTGAGGTTCGAACATTTGTAAAACAGCCTCTTGTAATTGCCATGAAAAAAAATGAAAGGTTCAGTGTGTAAGTTTTAGTGGCATTTAGTGGTGAGGGTTGCAAATTGCAACCAGAGGCTTTGTGCTCCTGATGGAAACGGCAAAATTTGAAAAAAAAAATCCTTAATTTTCTTGAGGTGGTTTTTGCCTTTGTCGAAAAACAGTTAATCGGCTGTTTCCGCTGTCGGCATCTTGCTGGATATTCCCATAATGTGTGGAGACATGGCTGGTAGCAAATTGTACGCTTGAAGCACATATGCCTGAGGACCTCTCTCCATTTTTCTAAGATCAAGGGAACTCGCCCCTGGTTTATTCACTCCGAACCAACTGATGGAAACGCACATATTTCGCATTTACTTTTTAGCGACATTTCAAAAATCCACTTAAAATTCGCATGACAATTAGATGGAAACGTACTGCTTTTAAGTTGGAATGTGGAACCAACGTGGACGCTAATAAAAAGACGTGTTGGATTAGCGTTGTCAGTTTATACATCTAGTTTATACATGCACAGCAAATTAACAGTTATAACCATATTACAAATTATGTGTATGTAAAATATGTATGCAATACGCGATTTTGCACAAATCAAAGTTCTGTATACTTCTTTACGTCCCATGTACACTTTATTACTCTTTTTGTAATAAAGATTTAAGGAGCTACTGTAGAAACATCGCAGCGCAACATGGTGACATCCATGTAAGAGGACCCACGGTTTAAGTAGATAAAAATGGCTCATTCTAAGTTAATAAAAACATAACGTTCGTTATGCAAGGTCTTTATACACCACTGAAAACTTAGTTATGCAGATTATATTGCATTTCTGTGAATAGATCCTCCTAAATATTACACACTGAACCTTTAAAGAAGGATTTGCAAACTTACTATTAAAATTATTACCCTTAGCCTGAAATGCAGCTGTACAATAAAATATGCTTTGGATGTTTCCATGGTAACATGCGTTTCTTATTCTTGTTGGTTTATTATATAGATATATTATGTGAGTAACAAATTTACTAAACTTAAAACAGCTGGAAGTAGGCAAACACACCTGATTAAGACATCAGATGAAGCAATTAAACATATTTCATTTACAAATATAGGTTATAGTTCCTTAAAACCATGGATAAAATAATTGCAGATACAAACAATGGTGAATTAATTAGTGTCTTTATTTCCAATAACACCATATGTTGCTCAGCATCACTTCTTGCAGAGGTTTTTACATCAACTGTAGTTATTTTCACGTCAGACAAACACTTGATAAATCAGGATGCACATTCTCTGACCTCTTGCTCCAGAAAAAGAAGAGAGGAAGCCATCAACCCTCCATCCAGCAAATCAGACATAAAAGTCATGAAAAAGGTTTTGAAGGCACAGGTCTGTACAGTCTGAAACTTAATATTGCTATCACTTCTGCCAAGACATAAAATATAAAGGCTTAGACGCAGGGTTCATTTAATAGTTAAAATACAAAGACAAGGCTGGTTGCTTATTAAGGATGCTGAGTCTATTGTTCCTCTGATGATTAGTTTTGGATTATCTATTGATTTTTATTACACAACATAAACATCACAGTGATTGAAAACTCACATTGTTATTATTAGTTTGTACTGTACTTTTACTTGCATAATATTTCAAACTATGTGCACAGGCTACATTGCAACCACATGAAATAAAATAATTGCTGTGCAATTCAAACATATATACAGTACATAGTAGCTGCTTGCTTTTATTTATTGCTGGTTTTCGAAATAACGCCTCTTTGGAGCAAAAAATTAGGCACAATATCTATTAAAGGCCTGGACAACCATCTGACATTCGACTGTGGTGAGTAAAAGGGGGAGGAATGTTATTGTCTGGTTTAAAAAATACATGACAGCCAAAATCATCAACAAAGAAAATAATAACATAAGACTTAAGTGGTGAGGGAAAAGTCAATGTGCACTTAAAAACAATCAATGTTAACCATGACTCAGCTTGTGAGGTCATAATTTATAGTTATAACCTGCAGAAATGCCGTGCAAGTGAATTCATCAATGTATTGCAAATATATTTATATGGAGAGAAATATTACATTCTTGCCTCATCAAAGTGGTGCATGAATACAGAATGGTTGTATAAGGTTATGTGTATGATCAATCATCGCACCGCAGTTACACAAAACCCAGTTCAAAGAGGAAACAAATATATATAGTAGGTTTAAAAAAAAAACATCATCATTAGTATATTAAATAAAGCTCAATCAAGTTTCAATCAAGTGAGGTACATAAATCAAAACATTGAAAATATTGCCAAGTTTTTAAAGAAAATACCAGTACCATAGTGTTAAAATAAGTACATTCATTTGCTTATATAAAAAAGGTACTTGCTTGTTATTAAGTTATCACCAAATGTTACAACTTCAGAGACAATTTTGCAGCATTCTCAAACAAATTTTGACTCTGGAACTAAAAAAAAAGTGCATATGCTCCAAGACTTTCACAGAGGTCGTTCCTCTCAGTACACAGTAACAAACACACCCAACATACATAACTGGGTCCTTAAGTGGGACTCTCTTCCTCCAGCAGCCAATACCTGCCTTACACTGGCTTGGCAGAGTTAAGAGACTGCAGGATTGTGGGTTTCTCGTCTATGACGCGGACCAGCAGGTTGTCTATGTACTCTTCAAGCTCAACGATCTTAGCGTCCTTCTTGGACAGGTCAGCTTGCTGCTTCACCACCATTGTGATCAACTCTTCCTGTGTCAGCTGAGTGTAAGGTCCACTTTGCACCGAGTCTGTCACCTGAGGAAAAGTGAGGACAAGTGAATAAAATATGTGTTCTAATTAAAACGTATTGATTGATTTAATTAAGCATTTGTCGCTTGAAACAAAACATTGTAGAAGGCTTTTTTTATAGATGCAGTGTTACATTTGTTACCCTATTTGCACTACAAAACATATTTTAAATAAATAATAACCAAATAATTTAAATATTTTTTATTAAAATTTTTTAAATTGCTTGGTTTTTGACAACTGTGCAAAACTCCATCTGCGGAGTGGAAAAAGAAGATAAGAGGATCATTTGATAATATTTTTTTGTCAAACTATTTCTAAGGTCAAAAATGAACCTTCAAGCTCAATATTTAACAATATTTTCAGAGTGACTGCTACAAGAATTCACTTTCACTTTGAAGAATTTAATTTCAACCCCAGGAAAATTTCTGAGGATTAACAAAAAAAAGGTTGATTTGTAAATATGAATAATGTAGATTATGTTAAACGGTGTGAAAAGATGTTTTATGTAATGTGACCCAGAATTCCTCCTGCAAGAAAATCCAATTAACTTGCTGTGTCAACAAATCTGTTTCTGTTTTGGTCCCAGTGTGTAAACATGACAGTACCTGAATCTTCCCCGGTGTGCTGTCACAGACCTTTATCTCTTTCACAGCAGGGGTGCTGTTGGGATGCTGGCTCTCAACGGAGCTCATGGGCTTCACAGGATGAGGCCTGTAAATACAGTGCATACATTATTATAAAGCCCTCAAAAACATTACTGCAAGTAAGCACAACAATATGTACAGAACTTTACAGGAAATAATAAAAATATATGATAAGCAGGAGAAAATATGATACAATTTAATCTAGTGTTGTGCAAATCATTCCACCATGACCCAAGTGCAATATTCAGAATCAAACTCCAAATGAGTTTACTCAAACAGTAAATCAAAGCACCTTATCTGCCTCCCCATACCACAGCAGCAACCAGAGGCCATATGCAAAGCCTAGATAAGCAGTCAACAAATGCATACTTTGTAAGTAGCATGTTCAATCTCACCTGCGTGGAGTTACGGCTAGCCCACCTCCATTGCTACTCTGAGCACTTAGAGGCATAACCTCAGAGGGTGAGACCCACGCTCGCAAAAGTGTCTTTCCCCCAGACAAATCTCCTGCCTCAAATGCTGGTTCCTCCATAACTACCTGCAGAGGCTCTGAGGAGGTCGAGGCAGAAGTTACAGAAAAAGGTTCAGCTCCAAATGGATCTTGTCCTCCATAAAAATAGCTTGGTGTTTTCAAATCAGCTTGAAGCTTCGGTGTGATAGGCTCATTCATGACATCTCTTGCGGAGAGGCTTTGCTTAGCTGTGAGTATGGTTTTTTCTTCTTTATATGGGTGTTCTTGTCGAGACTTGGAAGTCTTATTATCCGAGTGAGTAGTGGATGAAAGAATCCGTTTTTGTTTCGGTAAATTCCTTCTTTGGAAATCAGGACTGACTTGGTTAGAATCTTCATCTTTTTGCCTGTACTCGCTGCGTTTGTTTAAATAACTGCCATTAAAACTAGCAAATGGATCTGTTGGTTTCTCTTGACCAAAGTATTTATCAAAATCATCTGCCATCACTTCCTGATCTTCTAGTTTCTGCTCTTTCCGTACACTGCTGGTAAAAAGGTCATCTACTTCTGGGCTCTGCTTCAGCTGTGCCCATGGGTCTTTGGAAAGCAGCTCAGTACTGGGGAATGGGTCAAAATCTGCAAAGTTCTCCACTGTCTTCCTGACATTTTTGTCCACGCTGCTCATACTGGATGTTTGGATGTTACTGATTGAATTTTTGTTTGAGACTACTGGTGTTACAGCAGAATCTTCTTGCTTTACTGGCTCTCTGTCACTAACCCTCTGTCTGGGTTTGGCTGTGGGTGCCTCTTTGTTCACAATGACTTGCACTTTTTGTTGATCATTTGGTGGTGTTGTAATATGCCAATCCATTCGGCTAGATGGTCTGGGTGCATGTGTTCCTGCAGGTGATGGGAGACTTTCTCTGCTTGAAGCGTCAGATTCTACACGTCCTGGTACTGCAGATGGAGTAGGCCTCATGAGAGATTGGTGAGCGATATTCTGCCTCTCTCTTTGACTGGAATCCACTACTGATCGGAGTGGTGGAGGTGAGACTGATTTAGGTGGAGGAGAGACTGATTTAGGGGGAGGTGGAGGAGAGACTGATTTAGGGGGAGGGGCGACTGACTTAGGGGGAGGGGGAGGGGCAACTGATTTAGGGGGAGGGGCGACTGATTTAGGGGGAGCTGGGGCTGCTACTTTTTTTGTTGACATAGGTTTGGTCTCCTGAGGTTGTGTTGGATAATGTCTCATAGCAGGACTCTCCTGCGGGAGGGATGACTTTTGACCAGGTTCATGCTCCTCTGGGCCATCCACACTTATCTCTTGACCCAAAAATTCAGATGGAGTGGTCCTGTTTCTCTGATTGACCTCAGCGATTATGTGGTCCCATCGAGTCTGCCCTTGCACTCCGTGTCTCTTCTGAGGAAATAGAGTTTCATAGTCAGGAAGCGGTAGAGAGATGCTTTTGCCTTGCTGCGATCCATCTACCTCTACATATGCAGGGTTTCTGATCTGTCTGACTGTCTCATGTACTGGATGTGAAGGTGGAATGGGGGCTCTTCTCTTCTTATCCGCCATGGTGGGTGAAGATCCAACAGAGGACAAATTCTCTATGCTGTCACAAGGGGAACCAGACAGGTTTTGACTTATGTTTGGTGGAGTCAGGGATGAGTGGAGGTTGGAGAAAGTATCAGGGGACTCAGATGGGACACTAGAGAGGGTGGACTCAGAGGTGGCTTGGGAAGGACATGGCTGACTTGGGGTTTGGCAGTCAGCGGGTTCAGACTCCAGAGATTGAGGCAATCTGCCAAGAAGTGAAAACAAAGGCCTACAGGTCAGTGTGACCATCACGTTACCTGAAGTAATTTCCACCAATGTACAACCCGTCACCAATGCAACTAACATCTCACATGTCAACAAAAATACCCATCTACAGTGACACAATTTAGCCCTTTGACAGTTCAATATTTACTTTACTTTCAACTGCTTTCCTAAATCTGCACCAGACATCGTTGCCATTACATACAACAAAATCACTTGTTCATGAAATGGTCCATTGTTCAATGTCAGTGGCACACCTCCAAACAAAACTTCTGATATTCATGTGTGTTTCTATTTTTAGCGGTGACTTGTGCCCCATTTTTTCTGCTTTAAGATTATACCACTTGGATTATATTAGGTAGTCCAGCATGGCATCAAAATGTAACATCACAACTAAATAACACAAACAACTTAAAATCTAATTTCTAGCTGCTGTCTAGCAAAGCAACCATTCTAGAAACAAG